ACGCTTCTTTCCCCGCAGGAATGAATCTCCATGACCCTTGCCCGCTCAGGGATCTCCTTTTGTTGCTATTATTTGGAGCCGGCAAACTGGCAAGATACATTAATTCTTCAATAATTTGATATTACTGAAGGATGCTGGGGTCTGGAAAAAATCTGTTTCTTATCTTTGTTGAAATTAAAATACATCTGTGATGTAGTTGGCCATAAACAATTTGAACTCCTTGCAAATCTATGTCAAATTTTAAATGATTGCAGCAACAGCAAGAAGCAAACCTGTCTCTAWAAATACCTGTGTGTCACTAAGTGGAGATTAGTAAGCTAATGATTAGTCAGATAATAGCTGACTATTGATTTAGACAGTTAAATCAATTCTCTTAAGCTGCTTTATTTTCTGTTTTCAACTTCAAGAGTCATCAAACACCTACAAATGYTCTGTCCCAAGTGGCCAAGGGAAGAAATCCAGGCTAAAATGTGGCCAGGGAAGGCCCTGCAGATCTGCAGATCTCGTGTTTAACTGGCAGTGGTGGCAGCTTGGCTGAAATGATTAACAGGCTTCATTTTGTAACATAGCAATGGCCAGCCCCTGAAGGGTTTTGGTGGAAAACATGTGACATATATACCTATATTCTGAATGTTGCCGTAATGAAGACTCCCATTCTTCAGAGCTAAAGGCAAATGTTTGGAATTCTCAGTCCTTCATTTAGCCAAGTATTTACTTAGCCTTGCACACATAYAGGGAGGATAAAAGGGACCTGAGCACACAAAATTCCATTCTTCATCATACATGCTGTGAGGTGATACATCCTTTCATCACAAACGTGGGACCACTCATACCCTTGTGAATAGCTCTAATCACTCTCCCCCACCCCAATACTATTTCAAAATGTAGGTACTGGACATTTTTATAGTTGATCTACAATAAAAAGTAATTTATTTATAAATCCTTTTTTCCTATTTATCACCAGTGATTATTTCAGTTATTGCAGCACTGTTTATGTGATGACATACTCATCATTCAGAGTATCCTACGTTCAGAGAAGTCACATGTAGTAGTGAGTGCCTCCAACAAATACTACCTTTTCTAAAGTAAATTTTGTATAAATAAAGTGGGATGTCCTAAATAACAAGATAATATTGAGCAGCAGAACAACATTATTCAAGCTTGATAAAATTGCAAATTTTGTTTCAAGAACAATTTCTTTTCTCACTTTAGAATCATAACTGTCATATCAGATTTCTCCTCCTACATMCTCCCCTGCCTGGAAGGGCAAGGGTGATGTGAAGATATTAAAAATTCAACCTGCCATTTCAGTAGGGTTCACATTGGAAAGGAGTYACTCAACAAATCCCTGCCCCATCTTTCCATAAAAGATCTCTCAAAAATGCTGGGTTTAATTTTCTGTCCTCTTTGTGCTGCCTAGTGGATTTTGGGTTTTGTTTGTTTTTTTTTTGTTTGTTTGTTTTTGGGGTTTTTTTTGTTTTTTTGTTTTTTTTTTCATTTGGACAACACAATGAAGGGAAAACGAGATAGATTCCAGTCCGCTTCACTTTCTGTTTTTCATGCAAAAGTGCAAAGTAGCAGTGTTTTTGCTCTCAAAAACAACCCACCACCCCTCCACCCCTCTAAAACTCTACTAGTTTTAGATATTTAAAATGTTTAATTAATTTACAAGAACAACATCCTGGAGAAAGTCATCCTTGTTTTGACTCCAAACCCTTCACATAGATACCTTGATCAAAGTGAATCACATGCTTTTTACTGAGTGTGTTTTCTTTTTCTCTAAGCAAAGGTGTCTTCTTAYTGTTTTTTGGATAAGAAATTTTATTTAGTTACTCAATGACAGACAAATCTGTCAGCCAGATCATAGAATGGSTTGGGTTGGAAGGGACCTCAAAGATCACATAGTTTCAACCCCCCTGCCATGGGYATCTTTCACTGGACCAGGCTGCTCAGAGCTCCATCCAACCTGGYCTTGAACACCTGCATGGATAAAGCATCCACAAGTTCTCTGGGCAACCTGTGYCAGTGTCTCACCACCTGCATGGTAAAGTTTTTTCCTAACATCAAATCTAAACCTACTCTCACGTGTTGATCTAGCAAYTTCCAGCTGCTTCTGGATTTCTTGTTTTGCTTCCTCCTCTCACCTGTAGCTGCCATGTCTTACTCACTAGAGTGTACCCGACGTTTAGTTGACTTTCCCATGACACCCTGGAAGGTCACACCAAGTATCCTGCAGCTCACTACTTGGGCTAGCCAGGAAGAAACAGAGTAATGGTCAAGGATACCAGAGCTGGCAACAATTGTTTATTTCGCAGCAGCTTGTTTTTATGTGGGCTCTTATGAAATGGGTGCTGAAATCTGGTGTTACTGGGGAAATTATGAATATTCAGGTTAAAGCAACATATTGCATCACTCACAGAAGTGGTGTGAGGCAGTTCCTTTGAACTTCTAACACTACCCCAGCTGTTTTTCCCCTCTGGGAATGTTGTTTCAACATCTGCGGTTAAATGCCTTATTTGTAAATAAGTGGAAGGGGGRAAAAGTTTTCATTGATTCATTGCATGATTTTATTAGCCTGTTCTTTGCAATGCTTTCACATTAGCATTTAGCAGTTCCGTGGAAGTAGAGAGAAGGTGATGGAGGGCTGTATCTCAGCTAGAGAATATATTCTGTTTGCTCCCCTGAAAAGACAAGCATGTTAAAAAGCTATCAAGCTATTCTTGTACAAATCTGATGACAGCATAGTTGAGAACTATAAGATACAACTATGTGGCCCAAGGTAGGTGGGCATGGTATTTCACAAAAGCCAGCGATACATAACTTGTGCATCTCCCTRACTTTTCATCTGTCTTTCACAATGAATTTGCTCTGATTTGAGCTCTCATGGCTCTAGACARATTTTATGACTAGTTGCATTAATATTCATCCTGCAGTTGTTCTGACCATGCAGTATAAAATTCCTCAGGAGTAGAAAATCAATGTTTGATGCAACATCTTAGCCAGAAAACATGAAAYAGCATAATGGGAGCTGTATACAGAGGTGTGTTTTTTATTGTTGGGTTTGSAGAGTTTTCTGCTTCTCTGGGATAGGTATGACTGCTTGGCTGATTTCTGCAGCACCAGAAGCACATACTGCTGTTCCACATTCATCATACCTTTCTTTAGAACATACACCCTAAATGGCAGTGCTTCAGTGCAGAGAGGAGAAGAAGATCAGGATTTATTGAAACATCATCACCCTTCTGTGGAAAGGGTGGAAGGTGCAGGAAGGAATCCATTTACTCTAGGCTGGGGTTAGGAAAAGTTCAAGTAAATAATTCTCTGCCCTGCACAGGGGTTGTAAGCCCCATGGAAAAGTCAGGAGGGGACAAAGGCATTGTGGAAGTTTCAGCCTGGTTTTGATTCTTCTGCCACACAGAAAACAGGTATGCTGGCCTTTAGTTCTGTCAAGACTTTAAGCCAGTACCAAAGAGTCTTTATTAACACAGAGAAAAGTTACCAGCTTGTCATACCCCCAAGTGCTCCAATGTCTTAACAGAAAGTGTGACTCTCGGGGCTCTGATAAACAGATGYGAATGCTTGACTCCTGGTCTTGCTTTTTAGAGAATGAGAATGTACCTGCTATCTCTCAATATACATTTATGGAAGTCTTAATGCTGTAGCTGTGTTCACTGCTGTGAGCTCATGTTTGAACTCTTCACCCATAATTGCAGTCTCCAAGGAGTTGCAGTTTCTCATCATTCCCTCCCTGGRTTACAATTTGAAGCATGCCACCGGTTTTCCCGGTGAAGCAGCAATTCGGACGAAGAAGAAAAGAGCTGTATGTGATTCATGTGAAAAGTAAGTAAGTTAGAGGTTTACAGTAAAGAAGGGGGAGGATGTTGGATCAACTGACTTTTAGAGTCCTAAAGGGAAATTAAAACATCAGTGCTAACTAAGTTTAATTTTTGTAAACTCACCAACTGGGAAAGTTTTAATTTCGGGTTAGTGTGTCTAGGAGAGTAAAACAGAAACAGAGCATGAAAGAGATTGCTCTTCTTCCTCTCCTTTTCTCTACTTGGCTGGCCTTCCTTTTGTCCCTGTGCCAGAGTCAAGTATTTCTGAGATGCACTTTCCAAAGACTTTCCCTCCTACCCCGATGCTCAGGCCCTGCTGAATAGTGCCTGCATCTGAGCGGATACAGAAATAAATACGTGTGTGTGTGTGTGTGTGTGTGTGTGCGCGCTTTTCCCCCACAAAAAAAAAGTCAAATGCCACAACTCCTCAGCTCTGGTTTGAAGTTTAATTTGAATTTCTAGGACAAACACTGCTTCCGGGCTGCAATGACCAGGAGAAGGGCACTGGGGGAACATATTCCTGTTCCCTCCAGTGCCATGCTGTGAGTGCTGGCAGTCGCTAACTGTGTGTGGGGTGTCCTTCCACTTTTCACTTTAACTTTTGTCTATTTCACCAACATATCGCTGCATGGAAAACCATAACGGGAGCAATGCTAGGACCGCTTCACCCTTTCGAGACCCAGGCCAAGTGTTGCACGGCACGGAGCTGTGCGGGGCAGCGGCAGTGCCATGGCACAGAGGGGTTTTTGGGCCCGGAGGCCGCGCTGCCCGGCTCCGCTCGCCCGTGGGGCGGGCGCGGTTGCGGTTCCCCCTCACCCCGCTAACGTTACCGGGCTCGGCGGGTTCGCGGCGGCACTCGCAGCGGCTCTGCCCGAGCCCAGGCTCGCACAGCGGCCGAGCGGCTCCGCTCCCCGCCCGGTACCGAGCGGCAGGTCCCGGCTGCCCGGCCCGGGGCCTCGGTGATGCCCGGGGGCCGCCCGGTGCAGCCGCGGGGCCCGCGCTCCGTTCGCCTCGACCCGGGGAGGCTCCGGGAAGCAGAGCCGCCCCCGCCGAAAGCTCCCGGCCGCTCCGGCGAGAGGCGGGGGCCCGACAGCGCTCCCCCCGCGGGCCGCGGGGCGGGCCGGGGCGGCGGGCGGCACCTCGGGGCCGGGGCTCCCGCCGGCAGGGGYCCGCCGGGAGCAGCGAGGGCGGGCGGCCGGGGCGGAGCGGCAGCCGGCATGGGGGCCGGGGCGCTGGCCGTACGCGTGAGTAGGGGCTGGCGGCGGGACGGGGACGGCCACGGGGATGGGAACGGGAACGGGGCGGTGCTGCCGGCGGAGCGCGGCCGGGAGCGCGGCCGGGAGCGGGGCCGGCTGGATGGCGGCTGGGTCWGCCTCCGCCTCCTGCCGCCCTCCGCCGGGGTCCCTGGCGGGGCCGGGGCCAGAGAGGCCGGGCTGGGCCCGGCGCCTTCTCCTTGTCCCGAGCGCTCCCCATCTGTTCTCTCCTTTGCTCGTCTCTTTCTCCTTCTTTCTCCTTCTCCCTCCTTCCCGCTCGGCAGCTGCCGAGCCCGCCTTCGGGGGAGGCGAAGATTAGTAACAGCGATTCCAGGCGGTTTTTTTCCTTTAAATTATTTTTTTTCCTTTTTTCTTCCTTTTTTTTTTTCTTAACTCAGAGAACTAATTCGCTGCCGCTTTCCAAGTTGTTGGATGAGCTGTAAAAGTGCGTCCCTGTGGCGTATAAATAGCTTTTCTTCAAGTGTCTGGGCGGCACTTTTTGGCGGTATCGTGCAAGGGATGATTAACTTGCTTTCCCAGTTTTGGAAAACGGCAGCAGTGGCATTAATACTTGGACACGTTTTCCCTGTATAAAGTCAGATCTTCCGTCTATAAGGCAACATAACACTGAACTCTTTGTTTCAGAGCTGTTTTGAGGGATGACTTTATTTTGATTTTGGTTAGATGTGTATTTTGGATAACCACATAATTTTTTTTCCTAGTTAGCGCAGTCTCTCCAGATCCTGAAAAAAAGCTCAAAATTTTCCTCTGTTGTTTCTGTGAACACGGCAAATGTCGGTTTTCGTGCAGATTTAAATAGTGAGTTTTCCCAAGTAAATCCAAATCAGTGACTCAGGTTTTCTAATGTTGAAACAGGCTGGAAACCTGTAACTGAGCAAGATTGTGAGGCTAATTGAAGGCCTTAATTGGAAAAGCTCTCTGAGCATCACAGCCRCTCAGAAACTGCTCAAAGGATTTTTGCTGTCTTCTGAATTTAACCTAATCTACATGATTTTTCCTTTGGCATGTGTCTGCCTGGAATAAAAATTGTTTATTATTCATTTAATCCTGAATGGGAACATGTCTTTTTAAAAGAGATGTGGTATTTTAATGTCAGTCAAATTTTAGTTCAAATACTGATGCATCTACTGTTMACTGTAAATATTTATAAGATCGTCTCGATAATGCAGTATTGTAATTCTGTTTCACAAATAATGAAACATACTTGTGATGTTTATATAAGCAACATCTTTCGTAAATACCAGACAAGYGTTGTGTAGGACCTGGGACTATGGAACACACATATGCTTCAAATAACTGTTTAATGGGAAAAGCACAGCCAAGCGAGTGAACTGCCAGATCATTTTAAATCTGAAAGGACAGTCATGCTTAATAGCAGATGTTCATGTTGCTTACAGACTGCAGTAAAAATATTGTKTCTCAAGTGAAGAGATTTTAAAAGCGTGTTTAAAATAAAATATGTATGCTGTGTTAAAATCTGTCTTAACACAGTCAAGACTCAGGCAAGATTCTGAGCACTTTTTTGTATTACCATAAAGTATTCTCTGTGTGTATTGTTTCTGTCAACAAAACTACCAGTTTGTTAATGAAACACAGTAGGAATAAGTTTCTTTTTAAGCATCATGCCAGTTGTGGACTTCTTAAAGAGATTGAACTCTCTGTTAGCAGTGGCTCCCAGATCCTGCAGTGTGATCACAACTGTGGTGGGTCATGCTGCTACTCTGCCTTTAATTGTCTTCCCAAATGTGCAATGCTATAGGCTGATTAAGATTTCTGCCTATTATCAATCCTGTAAATTAGTCATGTATTGTTTTATTCCCCTGGCTTTTATTGACTATCCTCCCATGTTTTCTCTGTCACTGCAATACAAAACTTGTGAGAATGTTATGCTTCCTCAAGAACCTATGGGATTAAGGGTTTATTGTGCAGTGGGTTTTCCACCGGGGGGTGGATTATGTGTCGTTATGTGTGATTAGATTACATAGTCCCTTTCTAACCTTAAAACCTTCGTAATTAAATTTCAGACTTAGCAGATACTAAACATAACATAAAATCTTTCATAAGGGTCCATCTCACCTGACAGTGCCCGAAATAAGTCCCTAGAAAACAGCATTTGGAAGAAGAGTGTAGTGAACCTTTTCCAGAGTACTGCCCTGACAGGCGTCCTGGAGATGAGCTGAGCTACTGGTGGTGTATTGGGATTGTTTGTGTTTGTCCAGCTGCCTTTGTAGCCCATGTGAATTTCATGAGTTACCGAAAGCAGTCTCCTGCTTAGTACTCCCAATTACTTGTTATTCTATTAACAAGCACATCTACGGAAGTCTTTCTCCTTTACCTGGAGATTACCTACGTTCTTGTTCCTCTTCTAGTTTTTTCTCTGTTCATTTTTACTTTCCTACTTCATGGATGTTTTTTTCCTGTGAATTAAATGGCAATGGGACCAAACCCTTATTCTCTCACATAGMAGCCAGTTTTGATGGATGTGCTTGTGTTGAGACCATGCAGCATTCTGCAGCAAATGTGACTAATGCACCTTTTTTTTTGTTTCCTCTGCACCATTAGCCAAACAAATCAGCTGTGAGATTGAAGGAGGACATGAAAAAGATAGCCGTGCTTCCACTGAACAAGCAGAGGGACACAACCTGTCCAAAGGTGTTTGGTGTGAGTCTTCTGGAGCTCCAGCAGCAGGGACTGAGCAAAAATGGAATCCCAATAGTTGTGTGGAATATAGTCGAGTACCTCACCCAGCATGGTAAGCTTAGTGGAGTCACTTCTGCTTAGTAGCACTCTTCATGTAAGACTCTTCAAAGGGAAGAATCTCTCTTTTTTTGTGACACTAACCACAGGCAAAAAATGTTACTGTATGTGCTTTGCTACTTCTTTTTTCTGCCTTGATGCTGAACTTTTTAATATATTTGTAAAGGTAAACTACAGTGTTAAGTAGCAGCACACTCTTAAACAAGCTGTTGAGCATATGAACGTATTCCATTTGTGAAGGTTTGTGTCATCTTCCAGCTGCAAAACATTTGTCTTTAACACTTTCTCTGTGTAGAGATAGTCATGGGCACACATGCCCACATCCCCACCCCATCAGAGAATATTACTGAAAAGGAATGCATGTTCTTAGAGGTTTTCAGGTAGATTCCAGTTATTATGAATCTCCAAAAGGAAGTAGCTGTTCAGTTCTTAGCTTCTGTTTGCATTCATTTAATGAGACTTTAGTTCCTGTTGTTGAAATGCATCTCCTAGAGCACCACTGGTGCACAGATGTATTGTGTGGCATCTGGTCAGCAGTGGAAAAAGTTTTGTGGTAATTTCATCTTGTAAGAAGCTGCATCTGTTTTTACCCTAAGGTTTTTCTTTTAGCTACTCAGTAATCATAATCCAATTGCAGAGGCTTAGATTCTAYGACTGTATCTTGATAGATCCTCAGAAGCTCATAGAAGCAAACATGGCTTGAAAATTAGCTTGGATTAAGGTACTGTGCAAATTTAAAACGTGATCCTACCTTTGCACAGCAGTATCTTGCTTGATCTACTTCAGCCTGCCTTGGAAGTGGCCTGCTAGGGCACTGAAAGAATGGAAAAAGCTTTCCATCATTTAGGGTTTAATCAAAACCAGAAACTGACAAAACTGACAAAACTTTTGACTGCAAGTTGTGGGCTGTGCTCTGTGTTCCATAAAAAGATTGGAATCCCACACGACTGTGTCCCAAATATGGACTAAATAAGCCAAGTTTCCTACTCTGCAGCAAGATGAGCTGGGCTTCTGAATGTCAAGTTGATTATCTGACCCTGATGAAGACACAGTCCATTCTCTTTCTCAATATTGCAAGCAAGGTCTCAAAGATACCCTTTTACATGGAAAGTTCTTGAAATGGGTGTCCTGTATCTGTGTATGGTTTGTTTTGTGAATTAACRATGAAGTCAACTGTGTAGGCTTTTTTAACAAAGGCACAGACACCCAGGCTGTTGGGCAGCTACATCCTTAAACTAAGTTTGGTTAAGCTGGCTATTTCCAAATGTATAGATGAAACCAGATTTCCCATGGCTGTATTTAGTAGTTTATAGTTACTGTTTTCAGGATGTTCTAGCCTCTCTTTACTTCCATAAATGAGTGAGTAAAGGGGAAGGAAGTTGGATCTATGTGGGTACTGGGTCCTTTGCTCACCTAGTGCCGCAAAAACAAAAATCATTACTCAGATGAGGTGTTYTCTGCCCTCGAGATGGCAGCACAGCATGCCACTTGAGAATGCATTGTGTTATGAATGCAGGAATACAAACTCTGCCAGAAGTATCTCATATTTGTCAAATAAAATGTTTGAGTATTCGTCCATTTTTTTTCCCTTTGCTAGAGCAGTTTGTCTTCTGGTCCAATGAAAGAGATTATTTTTCTCTACAAACTCTGCTGCCTCAGAATTGATTTCCTGGACTGGAAGCATTCTGCCAGATTTCAGTTGCTTGATGTCTACTCTGAACTGATGAAAACAATGTATATTTCAATCCTATTAGTGTTACACTTCTAAGGAAGAGCAAGCAGATCTATAGATACAGTATTAGAAAAGGCAAAATTTTTGTGGCGGAAGTTCTAAAGAAAAATTCATTTACAGAGTTCAGTTTTAGGCTCTTCACATGAGGTTTTGAATCTTAACAAATGCCTAGAAAGTGGTGTTCRGTTTACTATTATTCATCTGGTTTCCTCTGTTGAAGCCTTTTTTGTTCCTCTTCTTCACTGGATGTGGGGTGTCTGGCCTGTGGTGATCGATATAATTTCTTTTCCATTGTGAAATACTTTGGGCTTTGTCCTGTCCAAGATACATATTTGCTCATTGAGATTTCCTACTGTCATAAAGTTGCGGAACTCACTATGGAGTTGCTGCTGCACTCAGCACATATTCAGATGTTTTTGCCTCATGATGGTCACCGGTAAGAACCGTTAAGAACCTGGAACGTGAAGCTGAAAGTAGTCACATGCGTGAATTTAGCAGTACTGCTCAAGGTAATGGGCTAATTGCAAAGATGAAACGGACAAACTGTTTTGTAGAGTCCTTTGTAGGATCCTTTAATGTTGAAACATACCAGTTGAAAATGTGGCTGTCTCAGTTGATATCTCCATGGTGTGACCCAACTCAGTGGCACTGCTGTGTTTTGGGTTCTCAAACAAGTATCCCAGGCCTAATGACTAAGATCTTGCCATTAGTATTTGTTATTTATCATAATCCAACTACACGACTAAAAAGGGTTTTTGGGGACAAAGAAGGTTTTGGATTTTTTTATATTGTGGTTATTAATTGCCCTTGTTTGTATTACTACATCTGTGTTACTCAAACTAGAATATCTGTTTCATGGTGTCACTGGGATGTGGTAGTTCAGCTCAATCTTTCATCAATATATAATTACAGGTATGACACAGGAAGGTCTCTTCAGGGTGAACGGCAGCATGAAAATGGTGGAGCAGCTGCGTCTGCAGTATGAGCGTGGGGAAGAGGTGGAACTCGTTAAAGATGGTGATGTGTATGCAGCAGCCAGTCTGCTGAARCTGTTCTTGAGAGAGTTGCCAGATGGGATTATCACATCTGCCTTACATCCCAGGTTCATTCAGCTTTACCAGGGTAAGTGAGAGGTAAAATCTCTATCCTTCGATGCATTTTCATTCTGGATAACTGGTTTCTTAGTTTACCTGCTTTGTTCCTCATTTCCTTTGATTTTGGCTCTAATCTGCTCTCAGATGTACAGTTCTGTTACAAGAAGCAGAAAAATGCTTTTTATGTATTTGCTGAAGTCTGGAATACTTAGGATTTTCTAATCCAGTTATATTTGTTGAATAAAAACTGAAATTATCAGCTAATTTCTTTGGGTATGCCTGTAAACAATAACTGCAGACTCTTTAGGACACAGATTTGCTTCTGTTTGCTGGGGTGGTTTCTGGCAGATTCATTGTAATGCMCTCTGAGAAGTTAGAATTTCATCTGCTGCTCCAATTGGGCCAAAAGCATATACTGTCAGAGTTTCTGCTTCTCACTAAGGAATGTGATTGTCCATCAAAAAAAGAGCCACTTTGCAAGTAACAGCAGACTTTATCTTTTATGCCATGTCATAGCACACAACCTGGAAGATTTCTTTTTAACTTTCTATTTCCACCCCCTCATCCACCTTCAAGTGGTGGATTAACCATATGAAAGAACACCACTTCTGCTGTTGAAAGYTGAGAAACCATTTTACAGAAAGTTATGCAAGTTTCAATCTAATTCATCTGTATCTGACAATCTCTGGCRGTGGTGGGTGGAATAAGTGGTGGTTGGCCCAAATCCTTACTGTGTGGGTCAGTGACAATTCAYCTCTCTTGCTTCAAGAAGTCAACACTTCTTCTTTATGTTTTCCTAAGAAGCTGCAAAGTGAGCAGGTAAAGTTAGTAGAGAATKCAGAGGAGGAACATGCTCTCTGACATGCATCCCTAGTGGAAGATGGTGCAAAGTTCTCACACTCTGGTCTTGAAGTCTCCCTTCCACTTTTCTTGCCTTCAGTGAGAGGAAGTTTAGCCATTTCCAGGAGGATGAGAATAYTGCCGCATGTTTTCGTTCATTATTTTGTTTTTGGGCTGTAGAGAGTGTTGATGGTGCACTGGAGAAGARGTTTGTGCTTTACCTTAAGTGCAGACATTTCAGCTGTAATAAGGTTGCATGTAGGCTGTGTAAAATACCTTCCCTATTTAGTAAAGTTCTCTGGGGCACAAGGATAGGGTTCAGGAAATGTGTAGGAAGGTGCTATTGTGTTGGAAAGTCCCTTTTTTCTGGTCGTTGGTGTGCTTTCCTTGGGGTCTTCTAGATGTACCAGGTCTGACTCATGAGCTGTATTTGATGATGTTCTTTCTCATAAATTACAATTTAAGTGTAAATTTAGTATAAGTCACACCTTTGCTGTTCCATATSCCTGCCCCCACAAAGGTCATATTGGTGTGTTGTACCAGGAACTACTGATGTACTTTGTGAACTGTGCTGTTTGTGGAAAGGTTAATTTGTTCTGTCTCCCACAGGAAAGGCAAAATCCCCCCAGTACTTTCTAGGGATATGAGATGGATATCTTTACTTAGCRGATTTACTCACCAAACTTTCTTGTTTCTATATAAAGTTACTGGTGTAACCTATGAACCCAGTTCTGCAAAAATCCATCCATCTGTGACGTGTCTTCATAGCTGAGTTTGCCTGTATTTCACAGTAAGATCCAGCTTAGTGCCATTATAATTATGATTAGGGRGATAAAATGTCTTATTTGGAAAATGCCACTTGGCTGTTGCGGCAAGGGGGAAGGCTTTTGTAAAGTTTGAAGAAACCTTGAAGGGTTTTTCATGCCYTAGAGAATACAGCATAAATGAGTAGTTATGAAAGACACTGATAATTGTCATCATGTTCAGATTAGCTTAAGTGGTARGTGGGCATTTGCTTGCAGTTAAATGATCAACCAGCTGTGTAGAATTGCAGGAGTTATCTGTTCACTTATCAAAGTATGTGCAAGGGTATTGGTTGCAAAATGGTACCAGGAGAGTGCATGCCTGGGTGTTCRTTTTGTAAACTGTGAAGAGAGTAGGTCAAACTTTTTCTGAGCCAACAGGTTATGAAAAAATAGCTTTGAATCTGGAGCCACTTTGTGGCATGTCTGCAGTGAAGGCAAATACAAGCTCGATTAAAACCTCTGTATTCTCTCCTGTTGAAGCTTTGCATGAGAAATGTTTTTTAAGGATTATGTTAAATTTCTTTTGGTGTATTTTTAGGGATTGTTCTCAACATTTTTTAAGGCAGCCGAGATCTTGGCCTCAGAAATACACATAGTTACTTTACTTACTGTARAAATGATTAGAGGGTGATTCCTCCAGTTAAAAATAGCTGGACTGAAAATTCGTCTGTAACTGTAACTCTTTTCAACTCCAGCAATAGAATTTGTTACCAAATCAAAGAGAAATAATCTGCTCTATTAGGAAAGAGAGAACCTGTCCTATWGTGGTGTTGAGGAAGTCCATACAGCTGGTTTGGCATTGCTGCCAGCGGCCTGTGCAGTGTTGTGTGGAACAGAGTTCTGCATGCTGCCTTCAAATCCTAAAGTACTTTTGTTTATATAAACACTCAGTGTAATGCCAAGACTATGCAGTTCCATGAAACATCATGTGGTGTATCGTGGTGTGTTCTGGCCTTCTCTCTCTGCCCTTGGGGAAGGACAGTGGCAGTGGGAGCTCTCTAAATGATGTTGATCTGAGATGTGTGTTGCAAGCGCAGGGCAGGGACACACTGACAGTGACCTTGGTTTTGGTCGGTTTCCTCACAGTGCATAGCMGATATGGAGGTTGTTCCTTACTGGGAGTTTTGGGGTAAAAAATGTCCATCCCAATCTCTGTTGTGGCTGAGGYTTTACTGCAGGGCAGAGCCGTGCCTGTCCATGTGAAATGGGCTGTACTTAAGAAACCTCAGCCAGAAGAAATTAGCAGCTCCCATACAGCAATCCTTGCCTGAGCTTGTTTATTCCTTCTGGCTTTTCGTTCCTTAGTTCCTTATCTTCTATATCGTGATCACTTTAAGACATTCAACCATACAAGGAACTGTACCTACAGCTCTTACYCCTTTCACAGGTCACTTGCTTTCCTCAAGACAAAGTGCTATTGTACTGGAAATTTTTTTGTTGTTCATTCCCTCCTCCAGTGGAGGAACAGTGAAATATGGTCTCTGTCTTCTCTTGGTWCTCCCATCTAATTAAGTTTAATGCTGTTTCGTCACTCTGGCTTCTTGACATTGCTCCATCCTGTAGAATTTATATTTTCAGTGGGCAGCAGCTAGATGTGAGTTCTGTTTCACATACCTCCTTCTGCTCACARCCTGTGATGCTGGCACGGTTTTGTCTAGTGCCTGTGAACAGTGTTGCTTGTTTCAGGGAGAGGGACCGGGAGGCGGTGGAAGGAGCAGCTCCCTTCCGGATCAACAGGTCAGTTTACAGAACGCTTGGTAGCCAGCAGCTGTTTGAGTTTCATGAACAAGCAGCACCAAAAATACAGCTTGTGTTGGGGATTTTAGAGTTCAAATTTCTATCTGAACAGTGACTGTGAAAATGAATAATGAGAGCTGACCTTTTAACCATGGTAACTGTAGCAGTGCACCAAATCAGATTCATTAGTTATCTGTGGTTCCTCAGGCTCTTGTGACACGATTTAACATTTTCTTTTGGCTCCTAGTGTCATTTTAGTGTTATCAGAGCTATTTCCTAGCTAGAGAAATAAAGTTTATTTTCTACAAGCAGATGACATTTGTTATGCAGTTAAAGCTCTCGAAACTGGATTTTTTAATGCAGATTTTTTATGCAGATGACACTCATCAGAGTTGCAAAAGAAGTGTGCTTTTCCTCCAGTGTGTTGGAATGAAGGATAAWCACAGCACTGCAAAGTGCTGTAATGATAGTGAGGTGTCTCAAGTTGGATTGTGATGACAGCCTTCTTTAGGAGGAGGACTTACAACATTTCTGCTCTTGATAACAGCAAGGTGTGATCTTTTTCCCTCTGGGGCAGGATTGTGTCTGAAGGCTCCTGTCTGAAGCAGATTGTTTCCTGGCAGATTGAGACCGGAGGAGTCCCACTTCCCGTAGATCGCGGAGGTGGAAAGAAATGCTTTAATTCCTCTGACAGCCCAGTGGGTGCCACGGCATTGCAGTGCACAACCTGCTGCCTGTGTGCCAAAGATCAGCTTCCCAGGGCACATTGATAGCTGCTGACAGATGCAAGCTTTTCTGTCTGCCCTCCAGGCTGGTAGTATGCAAGGCAGCTGGAAGCTCTGCATGACACTGAGCAGTAGCCTCTCTTCCTCACCTCACAGCACAGATAATTGGCTAGGGCATGGCACTGGGATGGTGTCGCTTCCATGCTTCCAGGCTGGAGTTGTTTGGGGTCAGACCATTTGAGACCTGAGCAAAACAGTTGCACACACCTGTTTGCAGGAATTCCATACCTTTAGTGATGTTCAGGCATGTTCTGCAGGGGGAAAGAGTAACATGAACAGAGATGAATTGGGGAATTAGATTGTCTCTCTAGCATGTCAGACACTCAATATCTTCAGAAATAGCATGAACTGTTGGAAGATATATCCCTCTTGTGAACTGTGGGTGTATGCTGAAATTAAATGAGCCTGAAAACATCGTCACAAATGTGTCTGTACCTCCTACGCTGTTGAGACTCCTGTTTCTAGTTAATTAACAGTTTTGGCGAGAGTGCCTGTCCTTTTCACTTGTCTCCTTGACTTGTTCCTTAGTAATGAGTCCCTAGTTCGGCACTGAGGTGCCAGTTGCCCTTCCTTTGGCACTGAGGTGCCACTTGCCCTTGCTGGCTTCCTTGGTCCTCTGTTCTGTGTCCTGTGGCTGCTGAGCCTAGACATGCCCTAAGCCTGCTGGTTTTGTTCCCTTCCTCTGCCCAATCCCCTTTATTTCATTCTTGTTTTCAAGCTCATTCTGACTGCACGTCTAGCTATGCTCTTGCATGCCATGGCTGAGATGCTGTCCATTCCACATAACTTTTCGAAAGTTCCCAAAATAAAAAGGTGAATGTCTACCTTCCTCTTAGCCTTCATCCTTATTTTTCTCCTTTGCCCTTCTCTGTGTTGTAATGGGCAAAAATTTCAAAAGAGCTGGATGTGCTGTGCTTGAAAATGATGAGTAGCATAAACCACTCAGGTGCTCTGATGTTTTTCTGATGGTCACTACCAGCTCAGTAAACCTCAGTGACTGACTTTGAAACAAACTGAAAAGGAGGAGGAATACTCCAAAGAATCAGTTGTTACCAAGACTCGACTGTTTTTGCTCTCTAATAAGCTGAAAAGCTGTTGGATTTGGAGAAATATGGTCCTGAATAGCAGAGGTAAATTTGTCCTGAAAATTGTACAAAATGCATGGAATACTGTGTATGCATGTCACTGTTTAGATTCACTACTAATTGTAAAAGGAATTTTTTAAAATAAAGCTGAAATCCATGAAATGTCAACAGCAGGAGAACCAACTAATTAGTTTTGATTTTTGGATAGTTTTGTAAGAAAAACTTGAATTCCTTCCCTTGTTTTTTTTTTGGTTTTTTTTTCACCAGAGAAGGAGGAGAGAGAGCAAAGTCCTTTTTTTCTCAGATTTCTCAAGGGGAAGGAATTTGATGGCTCAGTAAATCGGGTTTGCTGCCTCATGTTATCCAGTGTCTCCATGTCCATCAGTTAGGATAATTTCTCATGATCTTATGCTGTGGTATCTGTCTCTGTTCTTGAAAGTACAGAAATGAGCAAAGATTTGGCTGTGCCCAGTAATAAACATTGTTGATGTTGGTTCATACCCCATCCTACATCATGGTTAATGAGCAGGGACATCCTACCCAGCAAATACTTCTAAAGCTATGGGCCCAATAGCTTTCTTCGTGTTCAGAGTGCAAACCTGTGTTTGGAATATTTTGTGGTGGTTATTAGCATCTTTCTAGTTTGGAAAGGATGGAAATTCCTGCAGTAAATGAAAAAGTACCCCATCAGTCTAAAGGCCCAGTGGGAGACTCGGAGAAGCAATTATTTATCAAGGGCTTTCCCTAATTAGATGGCAGGGTGATGGTGATGGAAGAGGTACATATTTTCTGAGAGATGCTTTGGCTTTCCTTATCATAACTGCAAGCAATTTGTAGTAGAAAACACTCTGTGCTAGTTGCTTTGTTATCTAAAGAAAAGTATGTTAGGAGGTGAATTTTAATGTTTTGGCTTCATGGAAATTATCTGTGTTTTGTTTTATTTTAAGCTTCATAAAAAGATAATTAGTAATCAAGTCAGAGACTGTACAGTCCACTTTGATCAGTGCAAATACAAATGCACTGAAGTTCCTTGTTGTTATTCCATTTAATATGGCCTTCAGAAGCATCCTGAAATTTTGCTGCAGAAATAAAATAATAAATCAGATTTCTTGCTATTGCCAAGCTGATTGCTGGTAGCAAAGTCATGATTGTTTTTTACTCAGTAGCTATAAAAAAGCTYGTGATTAGCAAGCAAATAAGATTTTTTTTTTCTCATCTGCTTCATGCATATTTGATATTTGACTTTTCTGAAGGAGCTAATTTCTTATCTGTCCATGAAAAGGATATAATTAATGAGTTGGTTGAAATGTCTGGTCCTGTAATTTAACTGGCATTTTAAACTTTCGTCTGCTGTGATGAAAGAATTCATACTAAGTCTGTGGTACCAAAACAGATACATAAAATTAAATTCACCATGCATATAGAACTTTAAAAGACTTTCTTGCCATGTACAGTATTAGGGATGTTAGGTAAGGCAGGAATCCTAAGCCTCRAAGCAGATGAAGTCACTCAAGTTTCAGTTGTATGAAGTGGCAAGTATGTWTATAAAAATCTAATTTGTTTGTTAAACTACTTGCAGGATAAATCCTGTTTATTTGCCACAAAAAATGTCTGACTGTAAAACAGAAGTAATTTTGAAACCCAGTGGTTCAGTTCTCACGAGTCACTTTCATGTTTTATACAGACTGCTAATTTTCACAACTGACCACTTTTCAAAGCACTCGACTCCTGGAGTACTGCTCAGTCCAGCCCTGGAATATTTCTGAGATGTGAAAAGAGAAAACAAAGATGAGATTTCTGGAGTGTTTATACAAACATTGAGCTGTGTTCAAAGATTTTTGTTTTCCCCTCCTATTCTTTCTCTCCAAGAGAACATGGAAAAATATAAAATRTTCTTTTTCCCTGCAGTAGCAGTTCCTGCTAGACTTCTCTGTATGCTGGTAGCAGGGCATGCAGCAGAGCAGCACCTATTTYCTCAGCTGTTTMSRATGCAGCCTGTTCTGTTGCTTCTTRGCTGAMAATGAGTSTTGAAGGCTGAGSAAGGTTTGGTTTTGGTTGGATGCTGTGTGAGTTTCCTTGCTAAGGAGCATAATATCTTGACGCAAGAATCCCTTGTTGCCTTGAGCATGGGGAAGATGTTTGTATTCCCATGGTGAGCTAGCAGCTGCATTGGGACTAGGCAGCCTATTACAGAGAGCATAGAAGGTTAGCATTTAGCACTATCTTTATCTTTATCTGTGAAATAAAGCCTGTCTTCCAATCGCTAGACTTGTTTTTAAACCTTACAGTGCCTCTGCAAGGAAAAAGCAATTATGTCACAACAGTCTTACAGCATTAGCACCAGCCACCCATAAGGCTGATAAATAAAGAAAAAGGTACTAGAAATGCACAGATGGCCTCATGTTAATGGACACTGCTTATAATTAGATCGGTGAGGAAAACCTTTAGGGCATGAGGATCTTCTGTCTAAAAATGATGATGTTGCAGAGTCCTTAGGGTTTTTATGCATATGTGAAAGTTTCAGTGGCATTTCAGTTTTGTGGRGAGTATAAATTAATATTTGCAAGCGTTAATACATCCTGTTTTGGTATAAAGGTAAAGCAGTACAGAATTGTTTTCAAAACTTTGCTTTTATTGACATGTAAACCCAAGATTTTGGCRGGTAGAAATCACTTTTTGGAAGGTGTTTCTGGGGTGGAGGGGGGGGAGCAACGAATTTTGCATGTGAGTTCCACTCCAGCAGGAGGACACAATTAAGCAGAAGCTGTGTGTGAGACCAAGCTTGTGTTCACCACCTGGGTCTGTATAAACACAGCATCTGTAAAGATCATGCAATTTTTGCTTTAATGCTTGGATATTCTCAGTTCCATATGGAAAACTTTTATCCATACCTAAATTCTGGAGGTTGTACATTGAAATAAGGCTACTATGTAATATGAGGCCACATTTTGATTCATTTTGGAGTGTCTTTTTTTTCCATAAGAAAGACTCCTTCCTGAATATCTAGCACAGTTGTCACCAGCAGAAGTTCCATAGGGCTGTTGTAGCACTGTGCATTTCAGGAGACTTTTTGTTTACCATWCTTGCTTTCTTATTTTTGAAGCTTTTCATGGGAAGGGAAACAAATAGTATGGGAGGGTTTTTGGAAGTAGGGATGACATCCAGAAGAACCGTGGAGTCTGGATAACTGGTGGAGAGGGAGTTAAAGCAGATTTAGCTGGGCCAGGTGGGGATAAACATGCTCTAAAGCTCTTAGCTGACTGTTAGCAGCTGCTCAATCTACTCAGGAAAAAGGTTACAGCATAAAGGTAAGAATTAAATGGTGCCCATGGTGGCCAGGGTGAGTCTCAGGAGAAAGATGCCCATTCCCTGAGGCAAACTGAGGAGTTCTGTGTCTCTAAAAAGAAGCAGGAGTGAATTTTAGTTCCCACTGCTTGCTCACACATGTAAGTAAATTGGCAGCAGTGAAGAAAACCGTGCATGTTTTTTCTTCTCTTGTTTTTCCTAGACTCTAGAAACGACATTCAGAAGGAAAGTTACTTGAAAGAACTCCTTAAAGAACTGCCTGATGCTCATTACTGCCTGCTGAAGTACCTGTGCCAGTTCCTGATAAAGGTTGCTGAACATCACGTAGAGAACAGGATGAATCTTTGCAATCTTGCCACTGTATTTGGACCAAACTGCTTTCAGTAAGTTGGGGKTTTTACTTTTTTACTTTTCCCCATATGCTGGCAGGTGGCCAGAAATGTACATGTCAGAACTTTTAATTTGTCAGGGTGATSAAATGGAGGCAATGACTGGGGCTCTGTGTTGAACTTGAGTGCTAAAGCTGTTTTTGAGCCACATGGAAGTAGAGTTGCTCTCCCATTTCCTCTTGCTGTTTGTTCAACTGGTGTTGATCAGTTCTGTCTTGCTACATTGGTAGCAGAGCAGAAGTATAACTGTGAAAGGYCTTCAGACTGTCAGTGCAAGGAGGCTTGTGCTCACCCAGGTTTCTTCCTTTGCTATCAGGTAATGTGAGTGGTTCTCTGCAGAAGGCTTTGACAAAGGAGACCTAGAGGAAAGGGACTCCAATACAGCTCCCAGGTGCTGTCTGATTTCTAGAGATGGATACTGCATACTGTCTGCATGTTTGGCTTTGTGATGTGGTATCTGTCCTTAGACGTCCATGATTCTGGGCTCTCTGTCCTTCTAGTGTATTCTGAAACTRCTTAGGGACTTGTGGAGGATCCACTGTTATCTTGAAACTCTTTAATGGACTCATTAGTTTTACTGGGTTCTTTACTGGGCACAGTTCCTTGGGTGCTTGTGCTGAAGAYGTGTTTTACGTGCTGGTGGAGCTTRCAGCAGTAGCAAGAGCAGCTATTTCCAGGTGCCAGAAGTGAGAAGGTTTCTGTTGAGTCACTGCTGTGATGCAGTGCAGTGTTAGCACCCTCACCTCTGCAGTGAACCCACTGGCTGGCGTCCAAGATCTAACACATGGGAGACACCTAAGCAGTTTAGATAAGTCATCAGTTCTGAAAGGTGTGTGATATCACCAAGAAGAGACAAGCGAGTTCTTGTGTCAATGTTGGATTTGTATTGATCTTTGTAAAATTTTGCTCTGGAATAATACTGAGTTGCCTAGTAAAATTTAGTCTCATAAAGCAATTAATCTAATCTATCCCCCCGAGYTTTGGGGACAGAAATAGATTTCTGTAAAGGGAGAAAACAGAAACTGTCATATATTGAGTCAGTTCCATATACCTAGGCTACATGTTACCTGCTGTCTTTTTAATRAACATATCATTTTCCATTGATTAGGGAGAGAATATACAGAAATGAGACACTTAAACTAAAGCTTGTCCTAATGACTATACGGCAGGTGGATGATAAAGGTGAATTTCAGGATCAATTTATTTGCTGTGTTAGTACCAAAAGGTAAAGTATATTTTGAAAAGAACTGTTTTCCTCTCCAAAAGAAAGAATGCTCAKAAGGCAGTAGTATGTGTGGGAATGCCTGAATATGAGAACTATTGGAAGCACAACACTGCAAATTTCTGACAAGGAAAAGCAAAACAATTTTTTTTTACTTGCATTTATATGGACAGTTTGAGAATTTCTGTCTAAATGTATTAACAGAGTTCAGAACAAACAAAATAAATTCGAAGAATTTGAGTTCAATGCCTAAATCTCTATGACTCAAKCTCCCAAGTGGCTATTAGAATAATTTTTAGTTTATTCATCACTCCTTTCAGGAGAGTTTAAAAATCAACTGTGCATATTTTTTGGTGTAGAACTCAGAGAATTGGGGTTCCGAATTGCAGTTGGTGTTCCTGTATTAAACCAAAGCAGATGTCTTAAAAACTATATAGTTGTTGCAAATATAAAAACTGACCTCTGGTCCTAAGATGGCATGGAAAATAAGTAACTGTTCTTGTAAGGTACAGGGATGGAACCACCTCATTCCACTCCACAAGACTGAGAAAGGCAGAGTTCACTGGTGGTGAAAACCCAACATCTCATGAGGCTGTATGTGAGTGTAACCAGCCCAGCAGATGTAACACATGCTGAAATAAATACTTATCTGGCAAAAGAGGCAATGAAAGCAAGGCTTGACACTTAACAAGTAGCTAAAGTGTTTTTTAAAGACCCAAATAGGTCAGAATTATGGATGTAGATTTTTATTTAAACTCAGTTTCGCCATCTGGTAATTCAGCTATGTGTTTCATCAGATCTTGAACTTTTCAAGTCAGTTCAGGATTGTGGTCCAGACACAAGAATTGTGAGCAATGATCCAAATACTCCGTTCTCCTCCATTAATGGATGCAGTCTTATATTGCTGGAATTGTGACCATCTTTATCAACGAAAGTTTGATAGGGGGAGGAAAGAACTTAGAGCACTGTTTAGAGGTATTGGGCTTAACCAGTTGGTTGGCCAAGCATCCAGAAAAGATTCTCAGAACACATTTCAGAGCTACAGAGTAAGGCTGCCTGAGGCCTGCTTGGCAAGGGCTGTCTCTCTGCTGGCTGCAGGCAGCCCATGGAGAAGCTGCAGAAATTAAATATTGGCAGGAGGCTGAGGCAAATGCTCCTCTGACTTTGTGTTGTTTGTTCAGAGCAGTGYATGGRGGGATTTCTCTGTGACAAGGAAAGAAGGCTCAGCATCCAACTTGTCAGCAATTACCCTGCTGAAGCAGGAAGAACTGAGATTTTACTGTCAGAAATTCACACTCATATCTAAAATTAATGTCAGAATCTGTGTAGTTATTGCACAGTGTCAGAGAAGATAAAGCCCATCTGCTGATAGTGAAGGACTTCTTTTGGCAATGTATTTTTAGTGACAATTTAGCTACTTAAGCATAGTATCTCCTACTACAGAAGTGGAGTTGTTTAAMAGTTGAATAAATCATGCTGCTTGGCCACTTTCCAGATATTTAGGGTTCATTTTAATTCTCTTCATCTCATTTTGTTTCTCTACATCATGTCCTCTGTAATGTATCCCATCTCCTAAACTTTCARCCTTACTGCTTTTATCTTATCGAGTACTTCCCCTGCTTCCTTACTTGCTCTTTGACAAACTGYGCTGGTGCTTTTCTAAGGAACGATTATCTTGTGCTTTTCTGTATTTCTAATGAAGAAAAGAAGGGAAAAAATGGCTATTGGCATTCCTTGYAACCAAGTGTGATCTAAGGTATAAGAACATGTAAAGGGCAAGGTCAGATAGCTCATAAAAAGATTTGAGATTTGGTTCACTGTTTTCTCCCAACATGGATTGTGATGGCAGGCAAAGGTCAAGTATATTGAGAAGTACAACCCTTGAGGAACAACAAGAAGGACCATAAATAGTTGTCTTTTCTTTCACTGTTGTAATCTGTGTAAAGTATTAATATTTGCAGTGTGGTTACTCTTGGAGGAAGTTATTGTCCATTGGCCTGAATTTCAGCTCCTCTAGAGACATTGCCTTGGTTATGACCTGCTGTGTGGGCTCTGCTTGGCTCTCACAGCTTGTGCTGGAAAGGAGAAGATCAGCTGGGTTKTCTCCCCTCCTTTCTGTTCTCTTGAGCTGGGTATCAGAGGAGCTGCTGCACTTGTTGTGTCCWTTGGTTGGCTTGGTAAGACATGAGGTCTAACACTTAGAGTAATCAGAGGATCCATTTTCACCCATTAGTTGCAGCTCKCTCTCAAATAATGATCTGTGTGTGTGGCCTCCATCATTCAAGCCCTCCTTAATTTGGTTGTGTTTCATTCCAGCAGAGATTAAGCGTGTTGTGAAGGATTGGTCTATCTCCCAAAAGTGGTTGGCAAATGCAGGTATCCAGTTAAAATGCTGGAGTTAGATGCAGTTATTTATGTATGGTGAGTACATAACAGAAGTTACACAAACAGTAGCAAGAAAGGGCTATTATGTTTGAATRTGGAGAAAATGGTTGATTGTAGGGTAGCTATAGGTATTTCAGAGATGCTGAACTTRAAAGAATGAAATCTGATGTGAAGTGATGCTTGAGTGTCTTACCTTGGTTTCTAGCGGCCTTGGAGCCTACACAGTTTGGGAATATGAAACTGAATTGTAAGCAGAGGAGCTAAATTAATACTCCTTAGTGAGTAATGTTGGCCTTTGAAACATTATGTGGATGGACTTTGTCTTCAGGCAGTTMAGTCCCAAACCTGCATCAGTCTTAAAAACAAATGTGTATCCAGGATTGGGGGCAAACTGAGTACCAAATATTGTTATTTGTACATTAATTATTGCAAATTGGAGCRTGCAGCCATAACCTTTCTTACAGGGTCCATATAAATATTAAATACTGCATTTTCTAGCACTGTAAACGATTTTTTTCTGAAGTATTCAGTATGCTGCAGCCTATAATGACATTTTAAAGCATCAAACATAATATAGCAAGGCCATAAATGTTCTCATCCATAATCATATTAAATACTCATGAATATTTGAGCTCAGCAATCCAGCTGAGGAGCGTTTTTGAAGAGTCTGCTTTGAAATGTTTGGAGATGAGAGCCATGTACTTTGCAAGGGGATGTTAGRCTATGGACTGCCCTTTGTCCCTCTTTGTGTAGGTTGCAGTCTCTAAGATGCCTACTATCACTGTAAATTTCGTGATGAAAAATGGAGCTTTTGTGAAGCAAAAAATTTTGCATATAAATGAAGCCAGTCAGTAAAGTCTTTGTGACAGCATCCTTCTAGCATTTTATTATTTATTATTATTATTTGTATATGTGATTGTTTTATTATTATTTATTAGTACTATTGGTTTTTATGAATGACTTATCATTTTGCAAGTAATACTGATAGAGTGGAATTACCAAGTTGACTTAGGCTCATAAATCTGATGCTAGAGAGAAAAATTGGAACAGATTTTARCAGGCAGGCAGCTACATGCCCCAGRGTTGACTCTCCAGGATTCACTCTCCAGGATTCTTCAGTATCTCAGGAGCTAAAACACTTCTGCAAAGTCTGAGTAGTTGCATCTGTCATTGCATTTCACCCAGACTGTTGAGACATAAGCCTGTAAATGATGCAGAGCACGTAAACGAGTCACACAGACTGAGATGAACACCTGTCTCAAGTGACTGTTGCTGTATCTTTAGTTACTTATTAGACTGTGATCTTGCAGTAGAGTCTGCAGACATGCATATGTGCCTGTTTTCAGCTACACCAGTTTGTGGACCAGTGTTGGGACAAATCTCTCTCATCAGCTGAAGTGAGGGATGAGTTGCAGCCACGAGGTCACATCAGTATACAGTAAAGTATACCTAGAGGCACAGAGCAGGCCTTAAGTTGTAACCTCTACAAATTATGGCAACTCTGCTCTCAAAATCTCCATTAGTACCTCAGATGTCCACTCATGGACATCTGAGGTACTAATGAAAATTTTTGCCAGGCTGGAGAAAGAAAAATGGGTGAATTGTTCCCTGTCCTTTAAGTCCCTTCATTTCTGGCAGGATTCCCTAGGAGAATGGTAAGGTGACAGTGGCACTCCTCTACGAAAGTTACTGTACAAGCAGCAAAAATAGTTTATAGAGCATATAGCCCTCGGTGATTGTAAATTAGGATTGTGCTRTTGTTCCTTGCAAGCTGCTTCTGCAAAACTGCTTGGGGAAATGGTAATATGCATCCTTCAYGTTAGACAGGGTGGGGTCAAACCCTGTTGGGAATTCGTAATGAGATGACCCTTTCACATGGAAATCACTGGTTCTCAGTTGTGACAGGGAGCTGTCAGCAGTTACTGCCTGGGGAAATCAGTTTGRTGATCTCAGTTCAGCTCATTATAGACAAATGACTACATCCCAGGTCCTCCTGGCTGCTTGAAGCAGGTTTCCCAGGTGTGCTGGATGGTGACAGAGCCTTGTAGTGATGGCTGTCCTGTGCCACATGCAGTCATGTTTATGTGTATCACTGCACTGCTCTCAGTAGAGCCTGGAGATTCACTGTCTGCTTAGCCCACTCTGCATTTAGCTTGTTACAGCTTGTACACAGACCCTGAGGTAAATTCTTTTAACTAAATGCCTGAAATGTAAGGAATTCTTCACAGTGAGTTAAATTGACCTCAGGTCACTTTACATCTGAGCAAAAGTTGTGACACAGAGCTTTGCTGTGGTTTAACCCGTTTGAGTCTAGCTTTCCTGAGCATCCCTATGGAAGGAGACATTCACTCTGTCTGGAAGTACCCAAAGAATGTGTGGGCAGGGGGTCTGCATGGAGCTGCATTGGGTGGGCCAGCCAGGCTTGTAGGACATTGCTGAGAGGTGTGAAGTGCTTCTTTGTAGCAGATTTTGAAATGAAGAAGTAACAGTCTCAGCCTATTACCAAGTAACCTTTTAACTTGGAGAGCTGCTGCTTCTTCTGCTTTAAAATTACTTCACCAATACTTTCACTCTTTAATATATTGCAAAACTTGGGGTACTGATGCACCTTTGCCCTCGACCCTCCTTAACCAAGTCAGATACTGTTAATGATGGTGCCTCATTTAGATAAGGCACATTTTTTCCAAATACTTAATGTGGAGCTGCTGTGCTTTGAACACAGATCATTCAGAGCATCTCTCTGGAAGGGCACGGCATCCAGGGAATCTAAGGGAGGGGACAYTAGAGAATTTGCTCCTGCTTTACCTATGTTATGTATCTGTCCATGACTTTGCAAGCCACTGTGATAACTCAGTGGGAGTTTTCCAGGCCAAATCTCTAACATAGACCTGAACTTACCAATATTTTTTCTTCTAGAAATAACCATAGAAATTGCAGATTTATGSCACCCTTCTGGTGTTTCTGGTAGTGAAATTGATGCTTCTGGTGCTGCTACTGAAGTAGTTTGTACGTATGTGGTTATAAGGGGATCAAGTCCCTCTCCAGGATTTTGTAACTAGAGTAAACTGTGTATCTGGCTCTCAAAGSAGCACAGTTGTAATGCCTAATTAACATGAAAATAGACATAAGGGAACCATGYTTTACTGTGATGTTTTAACAAGATCTTCACAAATATAATGAAAAATTTCCAAGGAGTAGGGTATGCATCAGGAAAGTGGAAGTGTGGGAGAATATCTTCTCACAGATCTGTGTTTTTCTAGTCAGTTGACGTKACATTTGTAGATGTCGTGACTTTTCAGAATAAGAAGAGCTAAAGTAAAATGCTGGTTTTTTACACACATTTTCAGAAAAGTCTAGTCAAATTGGTAGATCACGCAGTGTGGCAGCAGATGGARTTTACTTTGTATAAATAGGCAGGGTGGTGTGTGCTTATAATATAAACTTATCTTCAACTCATCRTGTATGTTTGTTGCAAGGAAAATGTCACCATGGAGAGCTCAAGGAATGTAATAGTCYTTATTGTGATGGAGGTCTAATAACAGCAATTATAGGAGAAATAAATCAGAAACTTRGTTAAATATGCCTGTTTAAGTGGCAGAGAGATGGCAATGAATAAAATATGTTACAGTGCTATTAAAATAAATCAATTCATGGTCCTTTGCTTAGTTACATTCAGAGAGAGTTATTAAAAAAGATTGAAGTCCCAAGCTTTAGTCTTGTATTTTACATATGTATCTCACCATACTCATACAGAACTGTTCAGAATAGGATGTTGGACTTTGCACAGGTTTGATTTAATAATATTTATCTGGCAAAGTAGTGTGGGGAAGGGAGTGCAAGAAAGCCATGGAACTGRGCAGAAATTAGATACTGTTTTTGTGCTTTGTGGAAACTTTATAGATTAGACTGATTTTCAACCAGGTAGAGTGTTCTGGTATTAGCTGTTGCTAGTAGGGAAGTGTTGGCTGTAGTTCCCAGCAGATGTGGTTTAGGTTAAAGTATGTGACATTTTTTTAAAGTGAATTAGCATGAGTATACATGCATTTGCATCAATAGAAGTTGTCCCATTTGTTCTTTATTTAGTCTGAGGCCAGCTTCCACMCTAATGAAATCAATCAGCTGAGACTGACACATTTTACAGTTGCCAATATTCTACAGTGTTAAATAATTCTATCCTTTAAAATTCAGGTCCTGCTACTCTAGCATGTATTAAATTTTGAAATGATAGTAGTAAAGACTCTTTTCTGGAATTTATGAAGATGCGTTCTGCTGCAATGGGTCACTCTYCCTGTTGATACGTAGGTGTGTGGCAGAGAATTGAGAAGCATCAATAGCCCTTACAGAAAGCACTTCTGGTGACAAATTTCTGGAAGCATCTGCTTTCAGAGCCTTCTTGTTGAARTGCACATCTGGCCCCAGTAAAATAYAGTTTTATGGTASGTAGTTATTTGTAAATTTTTATTTKCTCTTTATAGTAAGCAGTGGTTTGCTCTCAGGTTATATCCTTGTAAAATAGCTCAGATGGCATTTTTTTCACTTTTGGGGGATTGATTGTATTTTCTTCTCATATAACCGCTTCTTGTCCTCAGCCAAAATGTACTTGAAACTTTTTTTTTTTTGTTTTCACTCCTCTGCTTCTCCTCTTTAAATCTTCCCTGTGTTCTTTTACTCCTGATCAGCAGTCTCTGCCACTTTATAAGGTTAGGAAATTCACATCCATGCAGCCACTTTGTGGCTTGCTGAGAAGACAGTGTGTCTGCTGGAAATACTGTACACTAGGAAACACTGAATGATTGCAGAAGGATCTTCAGAGATCATACTTTAGCATTAAAACAGAATTTAAATCAGTTTGGGGCCAATAAAATTGTCCAATAAAATGTGAAGAAAATAAAATTGTACAATAAAATGTGAAGAAAACTTCTACCAGATGATCACTGGATGATTCAATGAATTGTGAGCTCTGTTGTGAGTAACATGTATTTTTTGCTACATGAGAGAGTTGTGTGAAATACAGAAGGAAACATGCAGATACATACAGTATCTTGCCTTTTCTGTGTGCCTTTTAGGTCTGTGATAAGCTGCAAAGGGGCCTGTTTCAAGAGAGAAGCTGCTTTTTCTGTAGCCAAGTAGTTGGTTATTCTTCCAGAAAATGGTGCTTAGGAGCCACGTTTTGTATTTATGTTCTAGGATGTTCTTCAAAAGGCAGCAGCCTCCATCCCCATGTTTTAGAAAGCCATTTGARTTTTGTCCCTATTTTCAAAAGAAATAGTAACTCAAAAGTTAGATTAAAAAATCTGGTGTACAGCATTGGGTCATCTGAAGGCAGAAACCTTGTTTAACATTGAGTGTTTTGTTTAGCATGTGGGATTTCTTAATTTTTTCACTTATCCTTCCTGTGTACCTTTGAGGTTATCCCAAACCAGATTTTGGAGGAATCTGGCTCTTGAATTAACAGTTCAGAGCATCTAAAACCTGAGCTGTCTGCGCCATGTGTCATGAAACCCAACTTACAGCAGAGTTGGTGGCACCCACTTGGTGGCCATCCCTACCTAGATCCTGTGGAGAGGGTGGTTTGGCCAACAGGTACGGTATTTAATATTGACAGGAAAAACTGCAGACAAACTGTGATAGTTATTACCAACCTAAGCAAACTCCTCCTTTCCAAAACAAAGTTTCCTGTGCCTGCTATCCAGCCTGTATCCACAACTGAAATGTTACAGGGACCCTGTGGAGGATCTTTTGTATGTTGAGTCCCTRTAACACTCTGCTTTGTTGTCTCTCCAATTCTAGCGTGCCCTCTGGATTTGAAGGGATAAAGGAACAAGAGATCTGCAACAAGATAATGACAAAAATGCTGGAAAATTACAATACCTTATTTGAGTTAGAAGGCTTGAAGAAGGATGAAGAAAAGCCTGTATGTGAAGAGCTAGCAAGAATAATTTTGGTAAAAGTGAGTATCTCTAATATTTCATTTTCATACAGCAAATCAATAATTCAGGCTTCAATTCAGAAATCTTTTAGATAAGTGGAAGGCAGACTCTGTTATAATAATAGTCTSTGTTATTAATTATTCTGCAGTTTACACATTGATTCTGCTGATAGCTAATTTTCATTATTAGTCTGGAAGTTTGTTTTATTAAATATCTTATTCTTTGTTGCCTACACGCTGTTATTTATGTAGGAAATATATTCGCTAAAATTGAAATGTTTTTAAATGAGGAGGCAGAGTARTTCTAGGAAGTGTTCAGAGTTTCTGACATGGTGATCATTTATGGTGTACTTCAGTGATTATGAGCTTTGGTTCTCTAGGTCTGTATGAGATCTCTGGCCTTTGCTGCTGTGAAACGTGCCTGTCTCAAACATGTACCTGAGTTTAAAAGTCACATATTCTGACTCAGCCATTTCTGAGTGCACTTGAAGAGGAGCATGAAGAGTTATTATTTGAAAAAAGTACACTGGAACTCTTAAAGAAAAGTGATATAGTTAAAGTATTACATTTTTGATGGAAAGAGGGCTTATGCATAACATCAAAGTATTCTAAAATTCAGAAGTTAACAAGTAAGGCAGCCAGAAGTGCTTTGTTCTGGCTTGTGCTGTCTCTACCACAGGAAGCAACCTTAAGTCTGTGCAGGAAATGGTCATGAGGATGGTTTGAAGCTGCCTCATTGTGTTAGCTGTGTAGGTAATTACTTTCTTACAGGGTGTGAGCTTTTAAGTTTGGAAGGGTTGAACTACATGCTTATCCTTGGTAGAGTTTTACCCACTAATAAAATCACTATAGCCTTCACTGGAAGCTGTCAGAAAATAAGTTATAAAAATACAGTGTCTTCTACCTTGACAAAACAGGAAGCTTGGTGTGAGCCCAGGTTCTGCCATTCAAAAGAAATCAGCTGATAACATCTCTGCCTTTGTGGTGTATCAGAGGAGGGTCTGTGCTGGTTTTCATACATGGTGAATCAGTGAGGAAGTATTTAGCTGTATTTCGTTGGTTTTAGCTGTTTCTCGCTCTCAACTGAAATACTTTGTGGAAGGAGACAGAATGACTTGGTAGCCTTCCAGTGCCACAGTAAYTTCTGGGTGATGATCATGGACATTATCTGCCCAGTCGCTGACAGTGATGTTTAGTTGCTGATGGTTACTTCAACAACAAAACTGGGTAAAGGACATCTTTCTAAAAAGAGCCCAGAAGAAAAGCTTCACTTATAGCTCCTTCTCCTTCAAGCCTCTGACAGTTCTAAAAGTCAAGACTTAGTAGTAGTTGGGATTGTACGAATATGGAGATCTGGGAAAATGCCACAGCTGTTGAGAGATTCAAGCTATCAAATTACAAGGTGATGACCAGAATTACTCCAACAAAGTATGCTGAAAGATGAAACTATGCAAGTGAGATGGAAAGTGTTGCCCATTGCTTTGCCTCAGGAGACAGATAATTGCCTGAGAGGAATGAGCCATGCCTAAATACRAGGGTTCACAGTGTCTTTGAATCTTTGGACCTTGTTTATATTTTCCAAATTCTTCTGGCAACCAGCTGCAAAAATTTGACCTGGTTTGTTGTCCATCTAATTTGGGTGGGAACTTTCTAGYTTAATCAAGGCACATACTCAAACACAAGAAGTACAATAATCTAACTTCATGTAGCAAAGATACTAAGGTTTTTCTTTAAATCTGTCAGGTGGCTCTATGAATGGATGCTTTATACCATTCTCAAARGTTACATTTTTTTAGTACCCTAGCAGATATCCCCTATCCTCCCCTATCCTATATATTTGTATAATAAAGTAGAAATAGTATACTTGAAGAGAAAACCAAGTGGTAATGAGGAGATTCAGTGGACAAAAGTGATTGCCAGGTTGCTGATGTGTGAACCATTACATAYAGTAGAAGCTGGTCTGTGTTATAAAAGAACAAATGTCTCAGAATTATTTGGCATGATCTGTGTCGCAGTGTCCAGAAAACAACAACCTATTTGTAGGCAAAGTTACTGCTTCTGCAAAAGGCATTGATACATCTACCGGTAGGTGGATAGAAATTTTCCAAGTAATCTTATTAAAAGCAGTGAAAAATGTAGGATGCTCAGGACAGTGCTTTCATAAACTGAGGCCCTGTTGATTTTAAGGGTGGTGCATTCAAGCATGARCCATGGTGGGATGGGGGAGTGGATGGCAAGGAAGTGAAGAAACTGARGACTTGCCCTTTACCAAACTCAGCTGCATTTATTTAAGTGGCTTTTTTAGCTTCTGTGTTGGGAGCAGCAAGAGGGTGAGGAGAGGTTTAGATGAGTTCGCTCACTTCCTTGTGGGGTATTCTGTCATCCCTTTCCCCAAATCCCTCATTGCATTGCCAGCATTTCACCCTGAGTGACARCACTGCCACCTTTCCCATGATTGCCTTCACTCCCACTCCTTCCTCACTTTTCTATGTTTGCATTTTCTCTGAATTCCCACAACCCTGTCCCWCTCTTCTTGCTGTACTCAAACTCGACAGCCCTTCAGTCCCATTCGAGAAAAAACTGGCATCSTGTAGTGAAGTGCAAAAGCTGCAGCCCGATGCCTGACCTTCCACCAGCTCCAGTCACTCTGTACACATGCTGTAGCACCTCCACAGCCCATATTTCTTTTGTCACCCTTTTTTTACATTCTTGAATGTAGCATAACTTTTTCTCTAGGTTAGCACAGTGGCTTGTGGTAATGTGCCTTACGTTTTCTTCTCAGCCTGTAGTTTGGAGATAGGATTTATTGAGACATTTTCCTGTGCACCCATTAATTCCTCTTTCGGTTGGAATGTTGATGTTAGCCTTTCCCAAAGGTCAGGTTTCCAGAATAGGGGTGGAAGTACTTACAGGAGGTAACTCAGTTTTTACACTGTCTTAAGGGTTTAATCACAGGATGGTCAAAGCCATTGGTGCTGATCCAGGTGTTTCTTGATTAAGAGTTTGGAAAGAGCATCTGWAAGCATGAAAATTCWWATACAGGGAGAAGAATGCCACACAYTTGCAGAAGGACTACTTGGATCAGAATTTGAAACTCAATGACAGTGGATTGAAAAAATAAGGAAAGACATCAGAAAGAACAATGCCCTTCTCTCATTGCTCTAGTGTGCCTTTCTAGCTTAGTGTGTTACAAAATTAGCCCTGCTTTTTCGTATCTCTTTTTCATGTCTTCAGACTCTTACTTTGCTGCAGAAATCTCAACTGGAAAAGAGGAGCATACCTTTAGCTAATGTCTGAAGATGTWGTGAGAATATTATTGTACCCTGCAGTCTTTGGCTGTTGTTGGGTTTCTTAAATGCCTGTCGTTGACATCATCCACTCATAATAATCTTCTTTGAAGTCGACATCAACCCATTAAATCATTAATTAAACCCAAAACCAGGGTAATAGTGGCTCTTGCTATCCTACCCCAAAATGGGAGTGTCATGTCTTGGTCATATTTGCCATCTTCCCAAATTTGCCTTCACTCCTGACACTTCATGGTCTGAATATCTTAGGATTTTCCACACTTTGGTCATAAAATCAGTGGATACTGCTCTTTTAAAATGAAAACAAGAATATGTGGATCATTATATAAAGTCATGAAAAACAACATCAAGCTTCTCTTTGAGCAGTGTATTGGAAAGGAAAAACAACTCCAGTGGAGCAAGTTGTATCTTATCTGCTATGTTGGCCATAGCTGGGGAAGGAAGGAGCAGGAGCATTTCAGTCTGTATAGACTGTTGTGGCTTAAAGAAAATACCTTTTAAGGAGGCTAAAAGTTAATTAGTGTTAGAGATGGGAAAAAGAGACATGATTTTGTAGGGCTGCTGATAGTTGAACTACCAGTTGTTGTGTATGTGCACTGAGGTGGCACAGGAAGACCTTAATCCCAGTTGCATTTCTTCTTTCAAAGGTTGCTCAGTCATTGGGAAAGACAAGTTGCACCAGGTAAAAAGGGTTTCTTAGCTTGCTTTCTCAGTGGATCATAATTTAGAAAATAAGGCAGCAGGAAATCTCTGCAAGTTGCATTCCRAACTCTGCTTTGTTCCCAGGGCTGTAAAGCCTCCTCTTGCTCATTGTAATGCTCATTGTACTGCTATAATTAGAAACAAGGGAAACTGTTTCTTTGGAAGCATCTACATTTTTTTTWAAGTGCAATTTTAACAAAAGAGAAAATTTGTCTTGAAATAGTACCTATTTCAGTGGGAAATTGAACCATCAGGTTCATGATGCCTTGCWTGGAAGGATTTCATTCTACCTAATAGAATGATATCCAGATGATCATCCAGTTTGGTGGCCAGCAGGTGGAAGTATAACATGTACTTTCTTCAAAAATATATCTGTATTTGGAAATGCCTTATAATAAAAGAATTATGGGGTTTGATTTATTATTTTTTAAGTTCTGAAATAAGTTGGAGTTTGTTGGGGCTTGTTGGGTCTCATTTGCAGCCAGCTATTACTGCAATCCTTAATCCAAGCTTCACTTTAATTTCCTAAACCAGTGAGTGCTCAGTAAGAGTCCCAGTCTGTTGATCAATAAGCTCTGCTAGTTAGAGAGAAATGGGTTAAGTGGGTTGAGTGTTCTTACTAGTTTTGCTCCATGGTCACATTTTCAGGAGCATAAATACTTGGTTTTTATTAGTCAGTTTTGTGTGTAAACAGTTAATTTTCTGACAGTACACCTGCACTGTTGTGCATTTTCACCTTATAAGTGTCAGGGTTTTCCATAAAAACGTTGCTTATATTTTGCTTTGGAACAGAATTTCCTAGTGGGAATCCATATGATCCTGATAGATTTTTGTGTTACTAAACTGAGCAATAGCTCATGTAATGAACGATAAGTCAGTTGGGAGTTGCAGTATTGCCAATTTTGTAACCTTCTGGAAGAAATATATTTACAAAACCTACCTAACAACAAAAATTATAATTTTGAGCAAGGGCCTTTAATATACAAAGGTCTTAAACTGCTTTTGAACTGC